ATACATCTTATAATACATAATTTTTTGTCTGTGTTATATATATATATATATATATATATATATATATATATATATATATTTATAACGAGAAGAACTTAGAAAAATTTTATGAGATTAATAAAATTTAATGTGAATAATTAATTTTTTTTTAAATATGTTTGAAATATATTTTTTCTTCTTCTATTTTTAATAATATTGAACAGAGAGAATATAGTTTTTTTTGTCGATACTAAATAATAAGTCAAGAGTAATGTTTGTAATGACAATTTATACAATATTATTTTTTTGTATTTATCACTTTTCTTAATTAAAAAATTTATGAATGATGTGATGAAAAAAGATAGTATATATATATATATATATAGAAATTGTTGTACAATTTTGTTATAAAAAATCATTTCTCACAAGCAAAGGAGTAAAATGGAGTAAGTGCATGTTAATTTAATTGCACGTGTGATTCATGTTTAAGATTAAAATCAGATCATTGATGAAAACTTAACGTTATTTTGGAAGTTGAAAACTGGCGTCAAGACGTATGACCAATCATGCATAAAGTGTTTAGTTAATGCGACTGGTTTCATTGTTGGGCTTCTTTATTTTGTCCTAAATTTGTGGTAATGCAGAATATGAATTAATGGTGGCTATTCCCATGATCTCGACAAGATCCAAGTCTAATGTGTTTCAAGAATATGTAACCTAATTTACACGAGAATATATACTCTTCATTTTATGTTGTCCTTTTATTGTATATTTATATCGTAATTTTGAATAAACGGTTAGAATCAACTTAGTGACAACCTATTAAGCTTAAAGTTTATTACTATTAATATTATTATTGTAATTGTAATTGTATGGATAAAATGAAAAATTAATATTAACATTTTATTAATTTTATTTTTTTAATATTTTATCGATGGATATTTCATGTGCTTTGTAAGCATCCAAAACATATAAATGAAAAAAAAATGAAGAAAATTTTTATTCAATTTTTACATGATGTACTTGTTTAAGGGTATACTAGTAATCTTCACGTAGTGATCTGGGATCTTAAGGTTGAAAAGGCACTTCGATGCTCAAGTTAGAACAAATACAAATATCGATAATAGATAACGATAAATGAGCGATAACATTACCTCGTTTTGTGTGACTATTTATACCGATTATAATGGACTTGGATTTTGTCACTACCTTTATTAACAGCACACTATAAGTATTATTATAGGACATAAATAGATAACATTTGTAATAAACAAGTGTTATTGTACGATTCTTTTAGACAACACTTAAACACTTGTTTTAAATAAATGTTGTCATAGGACCCATTTAGATAACACTTGTAATAAACAAATATTGTCATAGAATCTCTTATTGGAAAGAACCCTCTGTGGGTAGTCCTTTTCTGAGATGTTCATCCATTTTTAGGATTAACGATTGACCCTACAAATCAATATAAGACTTTTCAGCATGTTTTGTCCTCACTCGCACATTTTTTGAAAAACTTCTCAGAAGGTCACCCATTCCTAAATTATCTCAAATCAAGCACAATTAATTATGTAGTTCTTATGAAATAAGCTATTAAAAAGTAGATACATCTTGTTGATATAGATGGTACAAATTAATTTTTTTAAGTCATCATCAACTATACAAATCTTATATTTGTACAATCTCTGTACAAATATTTCTAATTAACTTTTTTCTAATATATTTATCTTATTTATTATATTTTTGTATTTGTAAAAATATATTAATATATAACTAATTATATTTATGAAATATTTAATTTATTTATAAATATATTAATAATATATTGATATTATTTATGGATAACATAACAATAATAATATGTATAAATTTTATTTATTTAATAATAAAAATTATATATCATTTGACATGAATGAAAATTATAATATATGTAATATAAATATGTTAACAATTGAATAATTTCAAAACATTTAGTAAGAGTAACATCTTTTTTAGATAAGGGTGAAAAACTAAATATTAAATATAGTATATAACATCTCATTGCGAGTGATTAAGTCATGTGACATAATTTTTTTAAGTGATAATGCTAATTTAAAAAAAAAAATCTTAAACAGATATATGATGATTGTATAATCCCGCTTGCATGTTACAATTTTTACTGTCTATTAAACAATTTCGTTCCAAAGTAACAAATGACTAATTATACCAAAAGATGAAGTTAATATAGTTAAAATCCCACTGGTAATTCAAGTTAATTCGCGAGATTTTTTAAAACTACTCGTGAGATTGACGCAAAATAATTTTATTTTTGTTCCTACCGTAAGTCTGTTGTCATCGTTAGGGTCACCGCATCTGATGTATTGTCCGCTTTGGCGCTCGTTGAGCCGTTACAGTTTTATCCTTGAAAAGGCGCCTCACCCCAGTCAATGTTAAGGGGCAAGAGTGGCATGGGCCCCCTTCTGATGTATTGTCCGCTTTGGCGCTCGTTGAGCCGTCACAGTTTTATCCTTGAAAAGGCGCCTCACCGGAATAAGCCCCCCAGTCAATGTTAAGGGGCAAGAGTGGCATGGGCCCCCTCCTTCTAGCGCCAATGTTCCTACTGTAAGTCCGCTGTCATCGTTAGGGTCAGCGCATCCGAGGTATTGTCCACTTTGGCGCTCGTTGGGCTGTCACGGTTTTATCCTTGAAAAGGCGCTTCGGTGGGTTAAAGAGAAAGGGTATTTATAAACTAACCTTAGCATCGATTCCTAAGCGATGTGAGACTTTTGGGTATACCGGAACAATTTTCATACAAAAATGACTTCTTTATAATTTTATTTTAAAAATTATTTATAATTTTAGTTGGTACTAATAATATTTTCTACAATATTTTAAAATTCTAGTCATAGTTTTTTATTGCTCAATTATTATTATAGATAATATAATAATATTAATATATAAAAAAATTAATTTCACTTATATTTCATCAACTTTTTTTGATTAATTTTTTTAATTCATCAATTGATATTATTATAAATTCCTCTTGATGCTACTCGCCTTTACATTGATACAGAAAAATGATAACCCAATATAGTTAGGGGAAATTCATTAAGAAGGTTGGAATCAGTCGCTGTGTCGTCCATTAACTACTATTCTATACAGGTTTGCCTCTAGCTAGTTAGTCAATCACTCAATTGCTTTTTTTGTTCCAAAGTCCAAACATAAACATAAAAACAATTTTTAAATATATTTTTAAAAATTATTATATTAACCAGTTAATATTTTTTTTTCCTGATCACGTAGAAATGAGTTAACCAACTAATATACCGAGACGAATAAATTGAGTTGATTTTTTTTTTATATAAAAAAAAAATACTGATACTCTGTTAGATTAGAGACAAAAAGAAGCAAAAGAGCAAATATCAAAGCAATTTTTTTTATAAATTGACTAAAATAAATACTAATTAGACTAACTAATAAAGGAAAGGTTCACTTTGTATCTCTATAAAATTTTATTATTGAGAAATTTTAAGAAAAAATGATTGTAAAAAAATATTGATACTTTAAAATACATATACCTATTATTATTATTATTATTATTGCAGTGAGAAATATCCAAAGATGTAATTTCTAAACTATCTTATATTTATATATATATAATAGGTATAGGTTAATATTAATATTACATTTTTTCCTTCCTTTTAATTTAAAATTGTTTGAATGGTGAGAATGATGAATATGTTTCGCATTAAGGTTGACAGAAGATGGTAGTAACTGCATGAAAACACGTCAAGTTACTAAGTAATGCAGTAAAATAACAATAAGATAAAATAAAAAAAGCAACAAAAGTATATGTGTGACATGATTATTTATAACTTTTTTTAGAAATCAAATATACAAAATTATATATAATTTTAAATTTTTTTAACAATTTATTATATTACTTTATTTTAACATATAAAATAATATTTAAAATATATTGTTAGACAACATATCATAATATTTTTTTTTTATCGATTGTGAAAGTAAACTTTTACGCTAATAACATATAAAAGTTAAAGTTTGGTAAGTTCTTTTAGCACCTATCTGACATGTGATGCTTAATTACAATATTTTATTGAGAAAAATAAATGTAGAAACTTGTGTTAGTGGAGTGAATGTTTTGTTTTAAACTTGCTTTTACTTTAACTAAAAATATGATATTTGTCTAAAAAGGGAAATTAATAGGAAAGGTTGAAATAGAATTAGAAAGCAAAGTACAGAAAGAAAGGCACAACAAACTTTTTTTATCGGATTGAACCATAGTTTTAAAAACCGGACCAGTCATCGAACCGGTTAAGGTACTGGGTCAGTGGGTCAAAGGTTGAACCGGTGGGTCACTAGTTGAACCGCATGACTCGATTTTTATTTATTTTTATTAAAAAGTATTCACATTAAATATATTTTATACTTATAAATTTTAATAAATTCATATCTTATTTTAAATTTTAATTTTTCTATCTTATTTAAAATTATTTTAATTTTTATTTTGTAAAAAAATACATAAAAAAATTACATGTTAAACGGTATATTAATACAAATTAAAAATATAAATAATATGTACATATATAATATGCTTGCAATTAATATCAGAAAATAATATATGTAATATTTACATAAATATTGCATTATTAAATATATAATTTAAAATTAATAATATACTATAAAAGTTATTTAAGTTGTATATATTGCAAACAAATATATTAGAATAAGTAGTCATTGTTATATTTAATAAGACTCCTTGCTTTTTCATTAAGAGATTCAATT